CCAACTTACCCACCTGCAAACGCCCCTCACCACCATCACCACCACCACCACTCACCGGCACCAGCCCCTGCACCTCTTCACCCTCCTTCTCCCCCTACCCACCCACATTATCCTCCAGCTCCTGCTCACCCTCCTACTCATCATCATCACCATCACCCTTCTGCCCCTGTTCATCCTCCTCTCAACCCTCCGCTTGTTCCAGTTCACCCTCCTCTTAACCCTCCAGTTCATCCTCCTGTCAAGCCCCCGGTTCCAGTTCACCCTCCTGTCAAGCCTCCGGTTCCAGTTCACCCTCCTGTCAAGCCTCCGGTTCCCGTGCACCCTCCGGTTCCTGTTCTCCCTCCTGTTCCAGTGCACCCCTTCCCTAGAAGCTTTGTGGCAGTTCAAGGTGTTGTCTACGTCAAGTCCTGCAAGTATGCTGGAGTTGACACCCTCTTGGGAGCCACACCACTGCTTGGTTAGTTTCCATTAACTACTTTTTAACCTTGCTTTCTTTTTTTTTGTTGCAAGGTTATTATATACTGATCCTAAATGTTTTGAATACCTTATAGCTGTTCCATCCAAGTAAAAGTTTTTGCTTCCAGGGAAGTTTAAAAAATAATGACTTGCAGATTTTGTTTTATACTTTTTAGATCTGGTCTTTTTATTTGTTTCTCTACTATTTTCGCCATCTAATTTATTTGTTGTGCTGTTTAATCCATTTTAGTTCCACCAGAAGATGATCTGGATAGATAAAGTTAACTTTATTTCACTTTTATTTTACTTTTATTTTATTTTGTATACTTCCCGAAATATTTTATTTATATGGATACTTCCGCTGTCTGCATGTAAGATGATGTTATTAATATTTCAACTCGCTCTTTCCAATGCATGAATGGAGCTTGATTCAAGGAAAGGAAATTTTCCAAAAGCAAAACCCCGTAGAAATGAGTGTGTTTTCAACATAATGTAGCTATCTTTATTAGTTTCGCATCTCAAGGCAAAATAAATCAATGAGTTGGTCTGTGTATCTCTGTTTGAGAGAGAGAGAAAGAGGGACTTCAAAACAGCAATTACTTTGTGATAAAGTTGATTTGTCGTTTGTTTCACGAAAGCTGCACGGTTTCTGAGACCAATACTTTGTTTCTTGTGACTGTTTTCACCATTGTGTAATGGTTACCCTTTTTTACTCTTGTGAAATGACAATGTTATCCCAATCTTGGTAAACGACAAGAGATGAGTGTGTGATGGTTTGAAACTGCAGGTGCCATTGTAAAGCTTCAATGCAACAATACAAAGTACAAGCTGGTCGAAACCACCAAGAGTGACAAGAACGGTTACTTCTACGTGGAAGCGCCGAGGAGAATCACAACGTACGGAGCTCACAAGTGCAATGTGGTTCTGGTCAGTGCACCCGGTGGCCTAAAAGCCTCAAATCTCCATGGTGGTGCCACTGGTGCTGTTCTGAGGCCAGAGAAGCCATTTTTGTCTAAGAAGCTGCCCTTTGTGCTCTACAGTGTGGGACCACTGGCGTTTGAGCCAAAATGCCATTATTAGAAACAAAAGATTTGAATAGACTGAGTATGGGTGTGTTTCCGTTGTGGCCCTGTATCTCAATATTTATGTGTTTTCCGTTTGTAGTGTTTTGAGTTTGAACTGATCATACACAAAATAAGTGACATTGTTCTCGTATGAATTGTTAATTTAGTGTAAAAGAAATGTTGTTTTATGGTTTTTTCTTAAGATGCTGCTGTCTCTATTCTTCTATTGGTCTTCGTTTTTCAATGTTTCTAGATTCTTCTATTTATATTCTTTAATTTTCAAAGGAAAGTGGTAGCCTAAACTTTTCTAAAAGGATCATGAAACATTTTAAACCTTATACACCTATTTCATTATCTTTGTTTTTTCTGCTTTTAAAAATACTAAAGTTTATTTGTTTTTTATTGTGCGGCGATGCGCCATGATCTTTTTCTAAAATAACACCATCTTAGGTAAAATAAATTCAATTTATTGCACTCCGTTTAATAAACATCATGATATATATTAATACTGTAAGTTAAAACAATTAAATTATTAATTTATTTATAATATTAAAATATTCTAAAATAGTTTTTGTATTCTTTTGATACATCGGTATCATGTTTAGTTTAGATAAAAGGTGTGGAAAAGAAGAAGAAGAAGGAGATCAAGGATATACGGAGAAAGATGATATGATAGTAAAGAAAAAAATAAGTAAAAGAATTGTAGCTGGTTTGATAATGGAGAAAGAAAAAGAATTTTAAAGTATTTAATAGCATAATAAACAATTAAAATTTTTTTTCCATTAAAACTTAATAAGAATGAATATAAACTAAAGTTAAAATGTAATTAAATAAAAAATGATTATTTTATAAAATTTAGAATATCTTTATGTTATTATATCATATATATTTTTAATATAAAGAATAAATATCAAGCACAATTCCTTTTTAATATAGTGAAACTGTAAAGTATGTTTAATGATTATGTTTTTAGTGGACAACTTTTTCTTTTTTTTCTTTTTAGGCTTGCTTCCTATAGTTTGGAACATTGTTCAAAGTGGTCTTATCTTTTTCAAAATTTTATTATTGTTCATAAATCATTTTGGCTTACGGCGTTAAAGATATAACAGTGTAATGAAGTGGCAAATGTAATCTGTCTAATTTTTTATTACACGTCAACTATGACCCAATTGATATGACAATATTTATGCGAGAGAGTCTTCATGATTTTGCACTCTGACTCGCGGCAGTCCATGGTGGCACTACGCGTTTGATCAACGATGAATGAATAAGAACGCACGAAGAGGCTTCTTGCACGATGCATGGAGGCGCATTGTTTCTGCATTTTTGGCTTGTGCAATTTGCAAATTGGTGGATGCTGCTTGCAAACTAGGGTTTTTGTGATTTGGGTAGTGATTATGTACTTTTATGGTTTGTTGCAGGTGTGAATTGAGTTTTTAGGTGTCGCGATTGTTATTTTCTTGTTCATGTTTGGGTTGGAATTTCTGGTTTGCAGGTTAGGGATTTCTATTAAGTTCTTGCTTGATGGTGGTGAGGCGCGACGCATCGTGGATATTTTGCCCTGGTTACTGGTGGGGCGATTTAGGGTTTCATGGTGGCTAGGGTTTGGTTGAATTTAGGCGATTTGGGTTTGATTTCTATGTTTTTTGTTGGTTTTCTCTACTTCAAATTATAGATCTGTGTTGATGGTGGTGACGACGACATGGTGGCCTGAGGGTTTGGTGGTGGCGCATTTCGTTCTACGACAGTGGTGACGGCTAGGGTTTCACGGTGGCGGCACAAGGGTTTCTGTCCTTAGGGAAACTAGGTTTCACGGTGCCCTCCTTTCCTTTTACATTAACATTGCCACATCAATTGGGTCACAGTTTCCACGTAATAAAAAATTGGACATGTCACAGTTGCCACATCATTACGCCATTAGTTGTTAACGTCGTAAGTCAAAAGGACCAACTTGAACCGTTTTTTACGAAATATGAGACAATTGTGAACTTTTGAAAATGGTAGGACCACTTTGAACACAACGCCCAAAACTAGGGACCAAATGATGTATTAAGCTTTTTTTTACTTGATAATTCTGGCAAAAATATTTCGATTGAGTTAGAAATGGTTTGGTTATTCAATATTAAATGGAATTATCAATTACCATACTTACTTCGTATAGACTTTTACTTATATAATTTATATTATATAATCTGTAATGAGCTTTTATTTACTCTCGGTCTAATTACGATTCAATCACCTTTTAATTGTAATTACCAGGTTGATTTGTATTAATCTTTGTAGATGCTCTTAATCACTAAATTACAAATTAGATTCTTGTATGCTCTAGCAACACAACATTCCTTATCTATTTTTTTTATCTACATGCATCATACAGATCTTGTCATTGTCGATGGAAATTTCATCGCGATGTGGGGTGTGGGCACTATGACTCGAAAGGTGTTCAAGCACAACAGACCGAGTAAGACATTGTAAGATGTGTTTGCCTTTACCAAGAGATATCGAACCAGATCTCCATGTTATTCCGTTCGATTCCTAAGTGTGTTTGCAAGTCCAAATATCCTTATGTCTACCCTTTCACTGAAAAACCAACAATATGCTCATTGTAGGGTACAATGAGTTCTTGAGATATGTCCATTATTTTGAGTGTTTTCAAATGCAAGATGTTGACCTTGACCGACCAACACTTTGGTAATGTCGTAATTAGCAAGATCAATCATTATCATCATTGAATAGCCCTAGTTGGGGTCATGCGCTTTAAAATATTCATCTATGAATCTGATAAGAGGCATGCTTTTCACAAGCCTTTCCATTCGTTGCACTATTTTTAATGCTCAAATATCCCTCTTTCGAGCGGAAGCTGACAATCCTTCTTCTGCAAAACCTCCCAAAATTGTGTTGATTACCCCTTTTAATGGGAGATCGCTACTCCTGTTCCTAATGCGACTTAGTCCGTGGATTGGTTACATGCGCCGATCGGATCTTCGACCTTCCTTTCTAGGGAAACGACTTCTTGGCAGCTTGCACCATCGAGGGGGACTTCTCTCAACGCGTTCGGCTTTCACAAAATTTTCCAAATGACCCTCTCGAATCAGTTCTTCGATTTTATCTCATAGGGAAACACATTCCTCAGTAGTATATCCGAGGTCGTGATGGTAAAGACAATGTTTGTTACCGTTCAAGTTAAGAGGAGTGACTTCGGAAGAAGATCCTTACTCAAAGCTTCTTCTAGGACCTTTACATGTGGACCGTTCAAGGAGTTCATTTTTGAAAGTGTAGTCCTTTAACGAGTTCCTTGGATCATGCACTGTTTTTCTTGGATGAATTTCTATAACTCCTTTCACCGATGAATGACTCGACTCTCATCTAATTAAGGAAATCTCTCATATCTTCCTTTTGCATGAAATTTGTGGCTCTCTTTCTTAGCTTGTCGAGGTTCTCTGTAGGTTGGATGCACAAAATGTCGACAAACGAGTTAGGTCGTAACACCGTGATCATATGGTGCATGACCATGTCAAGACTAACATTCTTAATTTGCAAGGCAACCTTACCAAACCGATCCATGAAGGGCCAAAGAGACTCATCCTTCTTTTGTCTTACATTGACCACAACAATCGAGGTCAAGTGTTGTTGTCGGATGGTGGAAAATTATACTCCAAACTTTGACCAAATTGTGGCGAAACAATCTATAGAGTTTGACAAGAGTAATAAAAACTAGGCTAGGGCCTCTCCCTTTAACGAGGTAAAGAAAACTTTGCACCAGATAGCATAGCTCGTTATATACACCATCATTTGGTTTATGGATATTCTAATATGCTCTTATGAGTTGGTGAAGGCATCATACTTGCCGAAAATAGGAATCCTCCAGTTATAAGGTAGGGGTTTCCATAATGCTTATGATCGACATATGGGTATGATCCTTGTTGGCTCTGTTGTTCTCCTTAATCGTATAACCAAGTTCATTGTGCAATTGTTTACAATCCGAGAAGTGTCGGGGTGGAAGGCACAAGATTCTTATGACCTTAACTTTATTGCATGGTTGCGTTCTCTGATTGCAAGACTTGTAACTCTTCCTCATATCTGCTCTGAATTTCATCCATTTGTTTTTGTAGGTTTCTCATGATCTCGAGTCCAATTGGTCATCCGAAGCTTCTTTTAACACAATGTTACTCATCATATTCCTTATGGCCACTATGTGAGTTTATAAGTGTTCGCTTGGCTCTACGATGAGCGTCAAAATATTTCCACTGATCAAGTTGAGTACTAATAACTCTATTTGGTTTGATGCAATTTTTGCTAGGTTCACAACCGCTTAGATGGTACCTGGAAAGTGTACTATAATGCAGCATTCAATCATCATAACTACCTCACATAGACCCTATTAATATAAATTGGAATCCACTTTTACTTATCACCAATCTAACTATGATCCAATTACCTCTTAATTCAAATTACCAAACTGATTTAAGTTAATATTTGTAGATGTTTTTAATCACGCCAGGTGTATATCCGGTTAGTAACTTAAACAATCAGTCATATTCTTTTAATAAAGTGATACAATTTTGTTTGTTTTGTCAATTATTCTCTTAGATAGGTTTAATAATTCTATATCGGCTGAGCAATCTACGTTAGATCAATTGGATTCGTAATATATAATTCCAATACTTATTCTATATAATTATATGAAATTTACGTAACAAATTTAATGCTTTCTCTTTTTTTTTTAAAACTTCTTTAATTAATGTCCCTTGAGCGAAGTTTAACAAAGGTAGGAATAGGTTTTTCAAGTAAATTATCGCATGAGATCATATTACACAATTAAAAATTATTTCCATTGTCTACTTTTATAATTTTATTGTACAAGTCATATCTAGTGGTAAGTAGAACGTTTCTATTTTATAAAAGTTCGGATTATGTTGGAATGATAGGGAAATTAGGACTCAAGATCACAGTAGTAAGAAATTATTTTCTTAAATTAAAACCAACTTTTGTTTTAGAGAAATATACAATAATAAATATTTTTTGTATTTTGAAGTATAAATATAATTATCAAATGAAATCGCAGAAGACCCTTATATTGAAGGAAGAGTAGATTTTAGATTTTAAAAATTATATCACATAATAAAACTTAAAAAAAATAAAAATTTGGGTTTTAGTGTGTAAATATTTATAATACATTTTTATTACGTATAAAATATTTTATTTCAAGCATATAATTTA